CCTTGGCCCACTGCTTACCATTTGGCTATTTCTGTCTTTTGAAGAAACAAGGTTTGTGATGGTTAATGTAGTGACACCGACCTTAAAATGGACTCACTTATTTTACGTTTAGGTGTGTGCACAAGTGTGTCTGCGTCATGTGTGTGTGCATGCCCTCAGAGGACAGAAGAGCCTGAGGGCAAGAGAGGGCACTGGATTTCCCTGGAGCTGGAGGTACAGGCTATGAACCACTGATGTAGATGTCTGGAACTGAACCCGGGTCCTCTGGAAGCAGTAGGTGCTCCAAGTGCTGAACCATCTCTCCAGACCCTTATTGGTCTTAACAAAACTAAACAAAAACCCACTTGTTTTTGTGTTTTGTAAGAAATTCTTCCCAACTCCGAGGCCACAGGATGATCTCCTATGCTGCTTTCTAAAAGTTTTAATTTATTTTTATTTTTGCTTTTAAGATGTCCCACTATACCTAGGCTTACTAGTACCTCATTTATTGATTTTTTTTCAGATAAGGGGCATTTTTAAGTTTTCCTATTGTGTTAATTAGGCTTAGTTTTATCTTACTATCAAGCAGGGCAGGACTTTGTACAGCCTAAATACATGTTAGAATAGGACTCCAGTTTTGTTTTTCTACACTTGCCTTGAATCAGCTTGTCAGAGTCTGTGCAAATCCACTGGGCTGGAGAGGTGGCTCAGTGGTTACGAGCAGCTGCTGCTCTCGCAGAGACTGGAGTTGGATTTCCAGTACTCATGGGGCAGCTCACTACCTGTTGTAACCCGAGTTCCAGGGGATCTGATGACCTTTTTCGTCCCCTGTAGGTACTCCATGCACATACACACATGCAGGTAAACACTCTTACAATAAAACAAAAATAAATAAAAATTTAAAATAATTTATGGATATTTCTGATATAACTTTAAAAAAATTTAAAAAATTATGTGCATTGGTGTTTAGCTTACATGTGTGTCTGTGTGAGGGTGTCAGGACCCCTGAAACTGGAGTTACAATCTGGAGCTATCATGTGGGTGCTGGGAACTGATTCCAAGTCCTCTGGAAGGGCAGCCATTGCTCTTCACATTTAGACGTCTCTCCAGTCCTCAAAACTCCATGATATTTTTTATTATAATGTGCTATATAGATTCAATATTGGCTGAAATGATATTCTTATATTGATCTAATGTTGGATTGCCTCTTACGTTTTAATTATTGCTGCATCTGAGTTACAACTATTTGGAGCTACTATTATTTGAATTCCATTTTTATCAATGTCTCAGAAAATTTATGGATTTTGTTCATTTTTTATTGCCTTTTAGAATTGATTTTATTAATTATTAGTTTTTAATTTGATTATGATAAATATATAACATCAGCTTTACTGTATCTACCTTATTAAAGTTTGGATCTAAAGTGCTTGTCTGTGGTGTTAAGGACAGTTGTATCCTGGTGAGGTTATCAGCAGCATCCACTGATCTCTTCTGCTTCATCCTCTTTCCCAACTGTTAACTCATTACTCAACAACTCCCGTTCTTCCGTCCTTCCAACCCTCAGCTCCCACCAAGTCCACTCTCTGCCTCTTCCAGGACCTCTTAGAGGAGGAATTCCACCCCTGAATGGAAACACACAGCATTCTACGTCTGCGACTGCCTTCCATCCATTCTGTGAGTGTCAAGAGAAATTCCATTGTAGTTTTATGTTCCTCTAATGTGTTAGATATTTCAAGGAATCAAAGTTTGGCTTAATAATTTATCCTTTTGGTATACATGTTGTCCTTCTGGTGTTTGTTTTTCTCTTTATGACTCCCTTGGAGATTTAGTCTGCTGCTGTCACTGATGTAAGCACCATGGATTTGGAACTAGAAGTGTGCAGCATACACACAGGGGGAACATGGACAGACAGACAGTTTTGTAGAGCCTGG